TGGGAGGCCCTAAGTAAGCATATAGGCAATCTCTTCACAACTGTATGACATGTAAGTCTGTCATTTTGTAAGCTGGCCTCGACTTACTTATTCTTCCTACTTTCCCATCCTTCATTTCTTCAACCAACTTTTATTCTGCTCATGTTTAATATCTTAATATTTTCAAATATTCATTGATGTGGTTTAGCAGTACTATTCTCTAGGATTCTCAACCCCCTTTTTCTTGGCATACATAAAGGCATGGCTCAAACACCACCTTTTTTTTACTTTTCAAGTTGTCTGTAGTTTCTATAGTCAGAATTATTTGCCCTATCTATTCATCTTTGCTTTTTAAGCACCTAACATATTGCTTGATATACAGTAATAAGTTATAAGATTTAAGAGTATTTCATAATCCAAATAATTCTAGAACTGTGTTCTAAATCAGTTGACTTAGTTCACTTATAAAAATTAAGAGTTAAAAGGTATGTATAGATGTTTTGAAATTGTTCATCTGTGGAATCTAAATAACTTTGTCAAATGTACTTATTCATTTAGTTAGCATTAACATTGCGTGACTGATTTGTGTTTGATGTATATGCTTTGATGTTGGCTGGTAACAAAAACTTAATGAATTTTATCCTAAAGTTATTATTTGTTTACACAGAGATGCAACCACATGGGTGCAGCAGGAGAAGTACTGTTGGAAAGAAAAGGTTGTGCAGGAGTGGTAACACTAAACAGACCAAAGTTCCTAAATGCGCTGACTCTTAATATGATTCAGCAGATTTATCCACAGCTAAAGGTTTGTAATTTTCTTAAAGCAATTATGTGGATTCTTTAAAAGCATATCTTAATAGTACATTTCTGTCATTCTCTCCCATTGAGTCATTGGGTGCTCTCGGGTCAGTGATTAAGCCCCATCGATTCTTGAGTCTTCAGTGGTTTCCCTGTGTGGCTATCCTCAACACCCCTAGTGACTGAGCTCATTGCATGAGACAGCCCCTTCCACTTTTACACAGCTCTGAGTTTCATTGTGTGCTCTGCCATCCTTTCTCTGACCTTTTAACCAGTGTTACTGGTTCTTCCTCTTGGGGTATGAGTGTACAAATCTAATCGGCTTCTACATGACAGCTTTTTGGTTTGAAGACAACTATTTTTTAACTGCTTGGCCAGCCGTTTCTTAGAGAAGGTCATAAGCTTTTCTGTTCTAAGTGAAGTGCAGTGGTAAAGCATAACTTAAAGTCAGGCTGCTTGCGTTTGAAACTTGGATTTCTATTTACCAAGTATGTAGATTGGGAATGCTAATCTCTTTGTGTCTTACTTCCCTCAGCTGTGAAATGGAGATAATAATATTTCATAGGATTGTTGTGAAGATGAAGTGAAACAGTGTACCTAATACTGTCAGCCACGTAGGTGTTAATCAAATATTAGTTTTCCCCTGGTCATCTGTTCCTTAATTCTTCATTTGATGAGTCTCTTTCCCATTCTACTTTGTCTGTTTGGAACACCTTATAATATGTCCTTAAATGTGATACAGAGCAATAAGCCAAGTGTTCCAGATTAGAGTTGGACCACAGCGAAAGAAGGTAGAAACTCCCATGTTAGAATGCCGTATTTCTATTAACGTAGCCAAGTATTACATTAACCTTTTGGATGGCCACCCTGTGCAGCTACATTTCTTCCTGTGCATTTATACTTTTATTCTCAAGTATAGAACTTATAGAGCGTCTGTTAATTTTTCTGTCTCTAGTTTACTAATTTTTTACTTGGTCCATTGCTCTAGTCTTTTGAATTTGCATTGCCTCTTGAGTCTTTCACCCTACTTAATTATTAACTGTCCTTATCAACCCCAAATCAATTCCAGGTTTGAGCTATATAAGTGTTTTTACTCTGTTACTTACAAATTTGTCAGTAGGACAGTATATCACCACAGTAGAAAAGTTATTGCTCTGTTTATCAACAATCTTTGGATTGATTTGTTTACCAGGTTCATAAGCTTATGTAACATGTAGTATTATTAAGCCCATATTTTTTGACGTTGGCCTAAAAGTTGTCATGGCAGAGGTTTCAGATGCCATAATGAAATTTGAATCACATAATGTATTCATCTTGAAACTTTGTAGAAATAGCCTCCAATTAATGTCAGAAAAGAAAATGAAGTTGGGATCCATTCTTCTGGATATGCTTTATAAAGCTTATGCTTATACTACATCTGTCTATACACATATATATGTGTATATGCACATTTGGATATATCTTTAATGAGTTTGTATTGATAATATACCATTTTCTTTTTAGAAGTGGGAACAAGATCCTGAAACTTTCCTGATCATTATAAAGGGAGCTGNGACTCTGATTTTGAAAGAAGTTCTGTGGATAACATGCTACAGAGAGATCATTCATGAAAGGAAGAGTCATTCGATGTGGCAAGCTTCACTGTTGTCTTATTTTAAGAAATTGCCACAGCTACCCCAACCTTTAGCAACCACCATCCTGATCAGTCAGTGGCCATCAACACTGAGGCAAGACCCTCTACCAGCAAAAGGATAACCACTTGCTGAAGGCTGAGTTGATGGGTAGCAATTTTTTTAGCAATAAAGTCTTTTTAAATTAAGGTATAAACTTTTTTTAGATATAATGCTTTGCACACTTAATAGAGTACAGTATAGTGTACATATATATAACTTTTATGTGCACCAGGAAACCAAAAAATTTGCACATTGTGGTAGTATGGAATCGAACCTGCAATATCTCCAAGGTATATGCCTGTACTTGTCTGTAATGTTTGTATAACATGAAAACTTTTTTTCTGTATTATTTTAAAATTTAAAATGATGTAGGTATCTGAAAAATTTAGATTTTTTTTTTTAGTCTATCTGTCTTCCTGTATGAGTTAGGGTTTAATGAGGGAAGTAGAATCACTATGAGTATTGAAGTGAAGCAGAATATGCCACTCCAAAATGTGCATCTTTAGCATGTGGATTATTTTGAGCTGTTCTACTCCCATTTCCAAAGTTCACTTAAATTTCTCCTTTGACCAACTAACTCATAACCTTTCTGAGAAGGGAATTCCAGGAAATACAGTTTCCACGTTCCCAGGTGTTTACAGTAGGAAACGACCACAGCTCACCTTTTGGCCCTGGCTGGCTCTTTGCTGTGCTTTTGTTCTCAGCACACTACTTACTTGTAGGCTTCATTTTGGCTGTAATTTATGGCACTACCTAGGCTGGCATTGCACCTGTCCCTGTGGGGGATGGGGAGCATCCAATTTGGTCCTACAGACCTGGAATGGATTTGAGTCATATTGAGATACATAATATTTCTGCGTCGTGCAAATGTTTCCTGTATTTATCTAATCATAAAAAAGTAATGACTGATTCTACCCATGTGTAGAGATGTCCACTAACTGAGCTAGAATTTATCTGTTAACTTCTATAAAATGAGAAACTTTCATAATATTTTAGCTGTTCATTTTAACAGGGACCAGAAACATTACCCAGAACTGATGAGTGGTGTTCACTTTTAACCTAATTTTCTTAGCAGTGTTAATCCTTTCTCCAAGTCATTTAAAGGTTATATTTTGCTGCACTTACTTTAAACCTAATCAACATTCCAAAACTATATTTCTGAAAAATTGTATAATGACCAAGGTCGGTAGATTGTATATTTCTAAAAACAACATGAAAATTATTATAAAATTCTGTGAAAGATCACTGCAGAAAATTTAGAAATAAAGCATAATACAATGGAGAAAATTAAAATAACCAATAATCCTAACCAAGTCTAATCAGTAAACATTTTGGTATATTTCTCATTTTTATCTTGTGTATATTAGCTATTTTTGACCCTTCTTTTTCAATTAGCATATTATGAAATTTTTATATATACTGTTAAATATTCAAACATGTTTACCAATAACTGTATGTGTATCATAAATTAAATCATAAGTATTGTAAATTAAGTGTTGTGTATTTTTGATATTATAAATAACTACGGCAAACATCCTGTTTTTGCTTTTCTTTGAGACACTCGAGTAAACCAAATATACATTATGCTTATGGTAGAAAATTTGAAAAGTATAAAAAGGTGACCCCCAAATCATTGTTTGTAATTTGATGTACATGTAGCTATTCTTTTTTCCTGTGTGTATATTTTAACACATAGTATACTGTAATATAAATATTTCACTAGATTTCTGCTTATTTCTTGAGTATGAATTTCTAAAGTAGAATTATTTCTTCAATGTAAGAACATTTAAAAGACATCGTACACATTGCCAAGTTGCTTTCTATTTACACTTTCCCCTGTAAATGCTTTTATTTTTAAAGGCTATTCATTATGTGTCTGCAGCAGTTATATTTGTTGACATAAATTCTATCTCCTTGCATCCTGGATAATATCTGTATTTAGATCTATTCTCCTTTAGCTGGTCAGTAAACTTGGCTCATATATATATTCAACATTACAGAAAATGAGACAGCAGTTGGAAGCCTGGGTTCTTTTGTGATTTTTGTATATAGTTTTATTTTGCCACACATTTTTCTTTAGTATCAATAAAGTAAGAAAATGAAAAACATATTTTTCTAAGTCATATAGCTTAGTATCTTTTAAACTAATATAGCACTTTAAAACAATTATTTAAAATACTGTTTTGAATAGGTAGTAAAAACATATGGTACAAAATTCAAACAGTTCAAAGGGGCCATACAGTCTTCCCATTCCTGTCTCTCAGATGCTCAATTCTCTTTCCTGGAAGCAACCATTTTAGTAATGTCTTGTGTATCCATCTAGAGATAACGTTCTTTATACAAAGTTGTATGTGTACATGTACACAGTGGGTGGGGAGCATAGTAAACACACTGTACTTGAGATTGTCCATAACATGTA